CGTACGTACATCCTACTGTAGTACTTACTGATAGTTTACCTTTCATCACTACCACCAAGGAGTACTTCCTCTGTCCCATATTATAAACATCATTTTGGAACTACTAGCTAGTAGCTCGGCTTTCACAGTCAACGCATCGTTTTTAATGTTTTTCAAACAATACGGTGAATGTAAATATAAATATTGTGTAGTATGATAGAGTAAAATTCCGAATTTTTTATGATCCTTTCATCCTCCAGTATCACAACTACTCTCCCTCACTAAAACGATGCTCAATCTAAGTACTACCTCTACTTACTAACTGTAAGTAGAACTACGTAGTAACAACAATATTACATTGAATATACTCTGTAGTAATAATAGTAGTATACTCTGGATAACCATAAAAGGACTGCCAAATCGAATACATCATCATCCTAAAATGAAACTTTGACCCTGTCCGGTTGATGCTGACGCAACAAGCTCAAAAAACTACCAATGATAGACTGCCATCCCATACTTTTTCGTTTCCAACAACTTGTTCAACCAATTGGTTTCCCCAAATTACACTGATTTACCATCAAGGAATCATCCCCACAAGCATATTCTTGGTATGTATTGAGGTTCTATGTAGCAACAATTGGCCTGTGAGCCAGTTCCCCCCTCGCACCCAAGACAAGGAGGATGTACACCTTCCCTTTATGGAAGGCATGAAGCATCTTTTCTGGGTGTTCAAGCCTCCTTGGCTCATCCTTTCGGTGCCCTCTCTGCCATCTGCAGCTCCATTGCAACAAGCAATGGAAAATTCATCTCCAGAGGACCAAGCTACATCGTACATTGTGTGAGGGCCACTTCAATTTTCTTTCACCTGTACGACGTGGTGAATGAAGGAAATAATGCTCTTACTCACAGTCAATTCTAATTGTAAATTCTTAACAATCGTACCAAGTATACCATTCATCATTCCTACCTAGTAGTAGTAGGTATGGAGATTGGGCATAGCATAAAGTGTATATTGATTACTGGTGCATCATGAACGACAAGAATGACTGCCAAGTCAGCTACACAGTATATCTAAATTGGGCTGTCATATCATATTTCTGGTTCAAGAAAGAGGAGAAAGAAGGGGAAAAGAATGGAAAGGAAAGATATAGACAACATATCAACTCTAGATATTCCATTCTAAATAAAAAGAACAAGTCCCACACACCATGGGAAAAGGAAGTGATTCTATGGCAAAGCTGGTAGAAAAAGTACTAGCATAGTACTAGCATAGTAAGATCAGATATGGATAATCTGGTTGCATGAGATATCAACAATGGCTAATGATGGAGCAGCAGGTCTTGTAGTCGGCTGGTGGACGTTTGTGGACACACTCTCGATCACCTCCTAGCCACGATCAGGCAAAACAACCCCACCTAAATTGGAGAGTGATTACTGGCCTGACAATTGCTTTTCCAATCATTGCTTCATCATTCTGTTGGATTGACAAACAAGATCATCCAACAATGATGGAGCAGAAGGTCTTGTGGTCACTTTTATTTGACAGAATGTTGATGGGATGATTGAGAAAGCAATTGGGATCAGCAATCTCATGTCCTTAAGTACGTGTGTTGCCCTGTCAAGGCTGGAAGGGGTTTTGCCAATGTATATAGAAAGAAGTGAAGAGGTCCAAAAATGATCAAGTGGCAGGTCTTGTGTTCCTCTGGCCAACTTTTTGGTAAGAATTGGTCCCCAGCGGAACATTTTCATAGCATTCCACAACCTCAAGCCCATGTGCTACCTCTCATCCTATTGCCCTCGATTTTCCCCTCTCATGGTGGACAAATCAATATCCCAAGTCCTTTTAACGACCATTTGGGAATCCCAGTTTGTTTGTTGCAGATTCGGAAGACGATGTGCTACTATGCCATACCAAACTCAGTCCAAGCAAGCAGCTACCAATGATGTATGTCCATCTCAAATTTTTTTTACATTGCTACAGATTTTTCCCACCCGTCGTGATCTAAGGTTTTCTCATCCAAGTCATTTTCGATTTTGCCCTCCAATGTTGTACAAATTGATATCACAACTCCTGTCCCTATCTCAGTTTGGCTGTTACAGACTATTCAAAAAATGATGTTCTTGTTCTACTAAATCACATCAACATCAGTTCAAGCAGCTATTGTTGATGTATATCCATCTCCAAGTTTCTTTCTTTTGGTATCACTACAGACTACAGAGTACAGAGTCCCCCCCTCGTGTTGGGTTAAGGTTCTCCCATCCAGGTCATTTCGAATTTCCCCTCCCATGTTCAAATGTTTGAATGTTGCTAAACGTGATAAAAGTTGCCTGTGCAAAGGACGGGCTTTGTCCATACAAAGGACAGATATTGGTACGAGAAAGAGAGCCAACGTCAGATGAGATTAGATGAGCATGACCATTAAGCTTGAAATGATGCTGGCGAGGATCCATCAAGGCCAAGTTCCATAAAACTGCACCTAGGGTGTAGCCTTTTGTTCAGTAAATATCAAAGGGAGCC